TTCTTATCGGATTTCCATAACCGCCCCACTCCCTCTACAGGGGCCTGCTGCTCCCGCACTATACCCTGACATACTGTCTGCAGCGCAGGGTGAACATCCCTCACTATCGGATCATTTCCCAATGGAATGACTGGGGTAAGCAACCGCCTAACTAAACTGGTGTTAGTCCCTACAATCAGTGAGCCCTGGCTAACGCCCGAAGGGCGAGCACATATGATAGCCAAAGTATCCAGGGTCTCCGTATGCCCAGCAACAGAGGGTCCAAACGTCAGCCGTACAGGCAAACATCCATCGTAGGGGAACTTTTCCGTACCAATACCACAAATCTTCAAATCACCCAACTCCTGTATGGACATATACGCCAAATACTTATCATAAAAATCCCTATATAATAATGTCACCTGCGCACCTGAATCCAAAAGAGACTTCGTATAAATACCTTCCACCTGCACCGACACCACCGGGGAGGGACCCACCAACTGTTGAGGAACCATGGCTTTAGCCTTCCTCCCTTCAAGGGGACGAGGATTTCTTATCGGAGGGGATACCCCCATTGTTCTCATATTTGCCGAGGGTTCCCTAAAGAACCCTCTCTTATTGGGGCTGACTGATATCTCCGGGCACCCACATAGCTCCTTCATCCGGGGCCCTTGACAGTTTCCCGAATGCACTGGGTTCCCTGATCTTCTATGCGACTTTGGGCATGCACGCTTATAATGACCCACACCCCCACAATTATAACAAACCACTGATCTCATTGAATTGTTATCCCAGACGGGCGGTCCCATCCTCCCATCAATTATTCCAACCTGGCCTCCATTCAGGGGTGGGCCACTTGCTGCTGACCAGGAGGCTATCATCTTGGTTAACTCCTGTATCTGGGTCTGCATCGCGGTTATCCGATCATCCTCCTCCCTCACTCCTGAGCCTACGGGCTGTCCTACCAGCAATTCAGCTGTCGCCTCCTTAGCCTCCTCCACAACCTCAGTAGCCCGCACTCTCCTCATAAGCTCATGATATCCCCAGACATTCCCTCTAGCTTCGACCTTTATTTGACTCCAAACCGGGTCCAAAGTCAATGCACCCCGGGAAAGTTGTTCTATCCTGGCCTGTTCTACCCCAGCTGGGTCCAGTCCCCCCTTTTCTACCAGCTGATATAATAATCTATTCAGGCGCCTTATATATTCAGACAACTTCTCACCCCTCTTCTGATACATATGTTCTAACCGGAACAGTAAACTAGGTACCGTCTCAACTGACCCAAACTCATCCTGCAACAAGGAGAGGTAGTCATGCACAGTAAACTGTCCCCGACCCAATGTTAGACTCCTAATGGCCTCTGCAGCAGGGCCCTTTAAACTCTCTCTAACTCATTGCTTTTTCTGGGAGTCCGGTGTATCCCACTCCTCAACTGCTTGTATTGCCTGCTCCATCAAAGCTTCATATTCCTCTTCTCCTTCTGGTACTGGTTGTATCCCCGAAAAAGTACGTAACTTCCTATATCCGGCTCCTATGCAGTAACCCCCAGTCAGATTTTGGACAGAAACCAAACTTCCCCCCACTTGGGCAGCCCCTACTTCCGCTACCCCATAGGTGGGGAAACACACTTCTCTTTCTTCTGACCCAGTGGTTGTGTCGAAGGCATGCCCCATACAGTAGGGAAAATCACCCCCACTCTGGCATCTTCTGTCAGCTGTAAACTTTGAACCTGGAAGCACTCTGGGACACTCTTTTTCCATTCCAGCAATACATAAAAATGGGGGAGATCCTTATCTACCCTCATATCTA